CCACTCCAAATCTTTCCCACTAGAAGCCAAACTAACCAACTCCACCCACAGTGACTTCAAATCTTTCCCACTAGAAGCCAAACTAGCCAACTCCACCCACAGTGACTCCAAATCTTTCCCACTAGAAGCCAAACTATCCAACTCCAGCCACTCCAAATGGAGTTGGGCATCTCAATTGGTCCTTCAGGAAATTGACAAAAGCTTCAAACCACCTGCTACACAAACTCCCCAATTCTAATAAGCACAAACAATTGGCCGTTCATGAAGAAAAAAAAAAACCATCAGTTGTTCAACTACGAGGACGAACAGTGATCATGTTATGGACCTCCAACATGGAATGAATATTTACGTTGTTTCCTAAAAGCACTATTATAGAAGCTATACAATGGTGCACTGCCTCCCTCAGCCGCTCGTTCGCTCACCCTTTCTTCATCCCTCAGCCACTCACTCAAGCATCATCCCTCCCTCCCTCAGCCACTCGCTCACTCACCCTCCCTCCATCCCTCCCCGCCGTTTGTCCCTAGCTCGCTCCCTTGCTCCCTCGCTCCCTACTCTCTTCACTTAGTCATGCTCGCTCCCCCGCTCGACCCCTACTCACTCTCTCACTCTCACTCACTCGCTCCCCCACTCCCTCCCTATGTCCATCCCTTCCTCCCTCCTGTACTCCCTCCTTTCCTCCCTCACTCGCTCCCTTGCTCCCTCCCTCACTCACTCCCACTCACGATCAGTCCTCCGCTCTCTCCCACCCTCAAGCGCACCATGCTCGCTTACTTGCACCCTTGATCCCTCCTCCTCTCACTCACTTGTTCCCTTATGCTCACTGCCTCGCTCCCTCTCTCACTTGCTCACTCACTCATTCCTTCATGCTTACCCCATTGCTCCCTCACTCACCCATCCTTCCCCTCCCCCCTCCCCTCCCTCACTCCCTCCTTCCCTCCTTCCCTCCCTCACTCCCTCCTTCCCTCCTTCATTTACTGTTTGGTTCAAGGATGGGGGCAGAACAGATACCATAATCTTAATGTAGTACCCTTTGGTTCCCAAAAAAAAAAAAAAAAAAAAACACCCCACCTTGAGATTCCACGCATTCTGCCGTGCCACTTGCTCCGCGAATTTTTCCTCCAAATTTTCAAGACGCTGATTCAAGTGATGAACTGCATTTCTCTGCTGATCATCAGCACTCGTTCTCGCCCCGTTTGCGGCGCCAGGGTTCCCACAGCCTTCCCTTTCTGGCACATCATTGGTGCTCATTTTCCTCCCTCCGTTTGCACCGCCGGGACTCACACCCGGGTTGTCCTTCATTAAGGTTGCAACACTCTTCTGCATCAAGACAGCTTATTGCTGACAGGTTCATGAACAACACATCCAAGAGTCTCAGAGAGGAAGCATGAAAACTAGGCATACGCGTGGTGGGTGAGTGGTGGTACACTAATTACGCACACATGTAATATCTTTTAACATAATCAGGTCACAAGTTTGAAACTCAAATCCTCATGTACACACAGAGACAAATACGACAAAACAACTCAAGAACTCTTTACAACACGAAGAGAAAATACAAAAATAAATAAATAAATTCAATTTATGAAAACTCAACATTGGTCAGCGCTGAGCTTGGAAGAAACATACACATCATTATCCATGTCATTGAAATAATTGCGGATGCGATCTATCACTTAACATTACCCGCTTCTGCATGAATCATGCGTTCAAAAAAAAAAAAAAAAAAAAGAGAAAAAGAAGAAGACGAAGACACAAAGTAACAACCAGGTCATGACTCATGCGTTCAAAAAAACAACAACAACAACAACAACAACAACAACAACAACAACAACAACAACCCTGCATCCAGGGTTCCACAAAAAAATGAAAAGAAAAAAAGGAGTTCAAAATTCAAACCTGGGATTCTCATGTAGACAGATAAATACAAGAAATAACATTAAAATTTACCCCCTTACAAAAAAAATAATAATAAAAATTTATTAAAAAAAAATTAAAAAATTGCAAGGAATATGAGTGTGAACGATATACAGAAAACCAAGTTGTGAAATCACACAGATGTCCAAGTATTCGTGTGAAAGCAGAGAGTACCAATGCACCGAGACACCATTCATATAGAGCAATACAATGAAGTAATGAGTCAATGTCCAAGCCCGTAGGCCACACCAACACAGAATCCAAAGTCGCTACTCTCTGTCTGGCGCCCAGCATCCAGCCTACTCTACCCGACTATCCTACCTACAGCTGTGTTCACACAACAGGATCGCTTCGACTCTCGAAGACCAATGTACATGACTGTCAACTCCATAGCCGACCTCTCTTCATGCACCAGGTACGTATCTCGTCACCCTCAATCAGACCTTGATTACCCCACACTCGCCTCGCTCCCTGAAGACCACCAGATCGCCCGCTGTACCCCCTGGCGCCCAGCAGCCCGGCTATGGCTGTCTGCGCCCCGCTGCCCTGCAGCACCCCTCCTCACCGCTACGCACCCTGCCAGCGCCTTTGGCAGCAGCGCAGCATCAAGCGAGAGTGCAGCAGCACTTCCGCATTGCCCGCACTGGCCAGAATACCTGGCCTGGGCTGCCTCACTTCTTTTATGGAAGTGGCAGCCTCCTGGATGCTGCGTGCGGCCTGGCTGGAAGCTTCCAGTAGCTTCCGGTTGGGCCTCAGGCCCTGCGCCCAGGCCCGCGACTACAGTTGAGGGCCTGGGCCCCTTTTCAGTTGGGCAAGGCCTGAGTCTCCGGACTTGGGCTGTTTGCTGCATCTGTGCAGGGCTCCCAGGCAGGTGCGTCGGCAGTACTGTTTTTCCAAAGGCCGATGGCCTGCTTCGCAATGTATCGGCCCTGCTTTGTGTGTATGTGCCCAGGCGCAACTGTCAAGGCCTGGGCCAACTGTATGACGCAGCTTAGTGAGGCTCACGCGTCTACCCAACCAACTGGCGTGCTGCGAGAGCCTGAATACCCACATATGGAAATGTAGCCCAGAACATGTCATGTCTGATAGGGCCCCTTGAGGGCTTGTTCCTCACAAAAAGAAAAAAGAAAAAAGAAAAAAGAAAAAAGAAAAAAGAAAAAACAATGTCACAAGCCATTAAGACACAGAGATGACTGGATGCCAGGGTAATCAATGCTGGCAGGACTCCTCCAGAAGGGTTCTTGTTCCGACATGCTGTAAATTCAATCTGTATAGGGGACGCTGGGCCCGCTTCCCAGCAGGTGATGCTCCCCACCAATAGATGGAGCCTATCCCCAGGTGTTAGCGGTGTCTGCTCTTATCAGCAACACTAACACTGGCAGGGGTGTTGTGTCAAAAAAAAAAAAAAAAAAAAAAAA